GCATACCTTACACAAAGCATTTAATTTTGACGCCCAACGTGGGGCCACAGCAGTATCAAATAAATGGGTAAATTGTAATTTAAAAAAATCGATTTTTTTAAGAAGTGCCATTTTTTTGAAAATGGAATAACGTTTATAGGAAAAACTTTTCTGTAAAGTGGATGTACTCGCATACGCTAATAATGCAATTGTCAAAATGTTCAAGGAGTGAAATTCGTAGAATGGATTTAGGGCGAACGTTGGGGGAGCGATATATCCGGCTGCAAATTTCCCGCCCATCATCTGAAAAGATATACCTTCCATTACTTTGAGACATTGTAAAATCGATCCTGAGGTAGCCTCTAAAATTTTTTGGAATGATAAAGCAAAGGTTTACAGAACTAGTCTTTTGTGAGTTTCTTTAATGTAAATTCTCCGCGTGCCAATCATGTGAGTGCGAAAAATCGAAATGCCTTGACGAAGTCACGATATTCAAGTGTGAATTTTAGTAATTTTTATTAATTTATTTAAGTGCCTAATGTACGAAAAGAGAATTACAATTTGGTAGTTGATTTTGGTCTTAGTTTCCGTTTGTTTTAGATAAACTCATATGCATAGTCCTTTACGACTTTGAAACTGAGACTACACTTTACAAATACCTGCTTAGCTATTCTCATACCTACTATATTCTCGTTGAGGCTGAGGCGAATTACTTTCTCAAAACGAATTTGCCAAAGTCATTAGTGTCAACTGCTTTCCTGCGGCAAAACGGTTGTGTAACCGTGAAACTAATCTAAGTTTACATTTCAACGTAAATAATATGTACTCGCGAAAATTGCACCATGTCAGAGCATAATTGAAACCACGATGACAAAATGTTGTTGAAGCCGACACGGGACCGATTAGCGAAACAATTTTGTGACATGCATTCTGATACTCGATCATGGTAAGCTTCTAGAATAGCACAAATTCTCGAGCTTTTAGTTAGGCTTGCTGTATGCATTTAGTAATTGTGACCAGGACTGAACGTCTGGATTATGCAAAAGTAGGAAATTCGGTTAATGGTTACTCTCAGGTATTCCTCAGGCTTTTTCTTGTTGCATTCATGCAATATTTTCGATTACTGAGGTCCCTATCCGCAAGTTTCCGGAAGCAGTCTAATAAATAATGTTACAGAAAATCTCAGAGCCGTTATTGTAAGTACGTGCGGAAGAGGTCATGATACCTAGAGGGGGGAGAAATTGACATTCAAATAATTTCTTCAGACATTTCTTCCTCACAAATGACTAATTTATATTTTTTTATGGAACTCATCGGCTATTTTTCCATTTTCGTCATATCCTTTATGGTTTTTTATTGATCACCAAATTATGCTATCAGTGTCACCAGAAAAATAATTCTTTCGAGTCTCCAGATTGTTCGAAAACTTCCTCGTTTTTACGAGCTCCTTGAGAACACTCAAATTCTTCAACGTTTGGGATTTTTAGATGTTGGGGATCCTTTATATCCATCACCTCCAACATTCTCTTACTTTTTTCCCGATTCTTCATTGGACTTTTTTGGACTTTTCCCATTCCCAGATTCATCAAATTTTTTAGATCGACCTTTCCACATTTTTTAGATCCTTCGATCCATCAAAAACTTTGGATGCCTCTTTAAATCAATCTTACTTTTTTAACCGTCTTTCAGTTCTTCGGATCCGTTCCAATGTTGCGCTTCTCCGGACCTCTGCGATTTATCAGTTTCATATTTTCCGATTCTTTAAATTCCCATTTTGAAGATTTTTGTATCAAACTCCTCAAGTGTGTAAAATTGTTTGGATTCTTTTGAATTCCTTTGTATTTTTAAATTCTTCATGTTCTGGCGATTTTTTAGATCTTTTCTGTTCTCCGAATTCCTATTCATACCCACGATTTTCAATTTTTTATTATTCTCTAAAGTATTCTGTTTATTTACATCGTTAAGATTATTTTGTTTTTACGAATGATCCTCCAAAATCTTTCCGTTTTGAATTTCTTCTACTTCCTCAGAACCAGGCTAGAAACCAATTTCGGAAGAAAATTCAAAGGGCTGTAACTTTTGAACTAGTAGCCCAATTTTGGAACTGTTTGAAATTATGAATTCTACAGGCCACATTTTATGAGAAAATTTTTTTCCGGGTCGATCTGAGACAATTTTTTTTCAGTCCTTAAAAAAAGGCAGTGTACAACCTTCCTTTTTTAGCAAAATAATAATAATAATAATATTTATTCATGTGCTGTGATGCAACTTACAATCGTCAATATACATCGTGTATAAATACAAGTAATATATTATTCTAAATAGCGTAATAATAATAAAGAACTCATCGTAAGAATAAAAAGCTTTACCAATAAGGAAAGTTTTTATCTTATTTGTAAATAAATTATATGGTAATGACTTTACATTAAGGGGAATGAAATTATACATTTTTTTAATAACAATATCAGTACTGTTCTGAGTTTTAACTAGACGACAAAAGGACAAAAGGACGTGATCTTTATTACGAGTATCATACTGATGAATATCACAGTGTTTAATAAAGCGAACTTCATTACGTTTTGCATGACATAAACAATTATAAATAAATAAACAAGGCAGTGTTAAAATTTTATGTTGTATAAAAACATGTCGACAGTCTTCTCTGTACCCAAGCTGAGAAATAATTCTTACTGCTTTTCGTTGTATTTTAAATAACGGTTTCCAACAGGGGTAGTAACCCCAGGCAATAATGGAATAAGCTAAATGACTTTGTACTAGAGCAAAATACGCGGTTCGAAAAATCGACTGCACCAAAATTTCTCGGTAAAACACTTTTTCTTATTAATTTTGGTGCGTAGAATCCAAAACAATTCGTACTTTTTCGATCAGAATTCTCAATCAAAAGTAGGCTCAGAACTTTGGAGTCGTCGGTTTCTTCTGACCCTTCGGCATTTTACCGATTCAAATTCTTAATTTTACATTATCCAAACTCTCCGTTACGGAGCATATTATTCACGGTGTGATCACTTGTTGGAGAACCCCCGTTACATCTTTCTCTCTCTTTCAACAAGCATGTGAAGGATCTAATTGCACAAATTAGGAGTGTCTTTAGAAATTGTCACTTTTCGGTTGTGCTCAGTTAATTGTTGTTTGAAAGCAAGCTGAAGCACTTACCTCCACCTTTCTCTGGAGGATATATAATACGAGTATTATCGACACGTAAGTGATCCGCCATTTGCTATTTCTTTTTTCTTACCTTGGGCATTTTAGGGATCTCTGCTGTACACGAATTTCGACGTGAAGCAATCGTCAGATTGTAGATACCTAACCAGTAAAAGTACCAAGATAATGCCGGCAATAAAAATGGCAGATTACTCACTATTTGTGAAATTACCCAAATCGACTACTGTGGAAGATCTTTCCAATCCTGAGCGAGTTGACCGTTCATGCGGCGAATTTGAGTTAAAACAGGGCAAACCTAATTTCTACAGTTATAAAACCTATAAATATGGGGGGGGGGGGGGGGGGGGGGCGAGTGTTTCGATTTTCTTTACCCTTGTGCAGCACTTGGAGCTGCTCGCTAACTTTTCTTCGCTCAAACAGTTTGCGGCGCCTTGTGTTTTGTGTGGGATGTGAAGGGAGGACAGCTCGGACCTTTAGTTGTGGCTCTTTGAACTGTCACATTTAGGTTAGGTATGTTTTGGTGGAGGAGATGGTTCGGGTTTTCCTGGGGTGTTGAGCATGTGTGGATAATCGATCGCCTTGGATTTAGAGGGCTATGTTTTTGTTTTGGAGGTGGGATGATTTTTATACGGGGGTGGGAATTTCAATTTTTTTGGTTTGATAGTTTTCCTCCTGTCGAAGGAGAGAGGGGATGCAACGATTTATTTGCTCCTTTAGGAAGAACTCATTATTATTGCTCACGGTATTATTACTTGTCGGAGAATCCCCGTAACATCTAAAGCATTTTGATAAAAGGGATCCACCTATCGATGAAATTTTGACGCGCAGGAAGGGGGAACTTCCTTTCATTTTATCTTCTATCAGCTAATCTATCAGCTAATGGTGTAATGGTTCTTAAAATGCCCAAGATAAGAAAAAGAATTAGCAAATGGCGGATCACTTACGTGTCAAAAATATATCCTCCAAGTGGAAATAAGTGCTTCAGCTTGCTTCTAAACAACAAAAATTAACTGATGAGCACAACGAATAAGGGGGAATTATACTAAAGACACTAATTTGTGCAGTTTCACCCATATAATTAGCGACACTTCCGCTTCACATGCTTGTTGAGTAGTCCATTTAAAAAAATAGCTATTGATATCGCAGGCCCCTTCCCGGAGACAGTTTCTGGAAACAAATACATCTTGGTGGCCATGGACTTTTTCAGCAAATGGACAGAAGCATATGCGCTACCAAACCAAGAAGGGACAATCGTGGCAGACATTTTGCTAAAAGAACTTTTTAGCAGATTTGGAGTACCCATGGAACTACACTATCGCCATGGACGAAATTTGGACTTGTTTGGGAGAGTGCCATGAAAGATTAGTCATCGGCGATAAAGAACGAAGGCGGATGGGACATAAGCATTCGATTGTGTTTCGAGCCAGTTCCAACTTAAATGCGCTTATGTTATGTTGTACATTCTAAGTGATAAAAAATAATTACTGTTATAAATTAATCCATTTTAAGACTGCTATATATTTATTGTTAGTTAATTTTAAATAAATAAAACCACGTAGTTAAATCTACGTTAGATTACATTAGTTTCCCTTTTCCTTCCCAGTAGCGGTAAAAGTACTCACTATCGCTATCGTCGAACCATGCAACATTTTTCTCTGTCTGTCAGTAAAATAAATTGCAAAAATTAAATGTTGTCCTCAAAGTCTAAAAAGTTCTAGAAAGTGGTCAAGTGTAAAATACCTTCCAAATGGATTGGTTAATAATAATAAAATAAGTGTCTGGCGAATAAGATCCCTAAGAGCAAAGAAAACCGAAGAATATCTGTTTTTATTTCCCTTTATTCAATTTTTAACACAACAAATTATTAACATATCACAAATCTTCATATTATTGGGTTTACTGACAATAATAAATATATATATCACAGCGATTACGACGTCATATTCTTGAAATAAATAATATAATAACATTTACGATATGATTATGTTGATTTGTCGGTATTGAGGTAAACTGATCATTTAAAATCTATAAAATTGTCGTTTAGATGTCATCATACCGGAGGTCGTTGGCGAATTCAGTTATATGCGAAAGGAAAATGTACACCGTCCAAAAAAAGTCACTTTTTAATGTTCCCTAATTTATAAATTTTAGAATATCTGGCGACTAAATGAAGTCCATCTTTCGTCATACCGCGCTTCCCGAGTAACCGAAAGTGCTAGACCTTTTCGTGAAGTCCACAAAGCCGGCGTCGGGCGTTTGAAAAGTCTCGATTTTCACACACTTCTTTTTCGGCCGCTGGTGCTGCAACGTTTTACTTTTCGAACAGTAACTACTCGAGCTATTCGAACTAGAACTTCCGATTTCGGCGACGCCTAAGAAACCCTGATGAACCGTTACGCCGCTGTGCGGCATTGTCCCGTACTTGTTACAGGAGAAATTCGAGTAAGAGAATGGGGTCGTGTGCAACGTCGTAGTGCAATGGTTCTTTATTTGTATAGGAACGGTTTGAGCTGCCAACGTATTTGATACACCGGTATAATTCGGTTCGGTGATACCGGGCGTGGTACTTATGTCGGAACTAATGAATTCCATGGACTTATTCATGGTGCAAACGTCTGGGGGTGTCTTGTTCAGTAGAGGACCACATTCGCACTCATATTTGGGACGGTCCGTGCAAATGGGGTCGTACTGCTGACGATGTGACGTTCCCGCGTGCTTCACTAAGTACTCCGTCGACAGACGCTGATGCTCTCGCAACTTGCGTTCTGCACCCGGTACCATTTCTCGAACCTAAACATAAAAAAGCCTGTGTAAGATGGGAATGATATTATTATAGTAGTAGGGGTGGCAAAAACAAGATCGGGAATACATAATTCTCTTTGTATCAAAAGGAATTACTTTATTCATAAAAAATCCGTACTAATACCCAGGGGCGGACTGGGTACTTACACTGCCTTTTTTTGAGCCACGAAAAAAAAATTGTCTCAGATCGACCCGAAAAAAAAATTTTTCTTATAGAATGTGGCCTGTAGAATCCATTATTTCAAACAGTTCCAAGATTGGGCTTCTAGTTCAAAAGTTACAGCTCTTTGAATTTTCTTTCGAAATTGGTTTCTAGTCAGGGGCGGGCCAGGTGGAATTGCATAGATTACGGGCCATTAAAGTATTAGTGTAGTAATGAAGGTGGCGGGAAGGGGGGGGGGGTAGCTCTGCGGTGCACCACAAAAACATTTTTTGCTTCATTTTAAGGTACTCCTTTTTCGGAAATCAATTACAATACAGTTTTTTTTTTAAATTGCAGCTGATAATTAAAAGTAACAAAATATACAATCCAAACGAGGCGCGTCGCCTATCATTGTATTTCAGCACTTTCATGCTACGCCAAAAAATGATAAATTCATTGTAAAACACTTCAATTAAAACAGAATTTTTAAATTTTTTAACAACCTAACATCAACCCCAATTAGAGAAACGTGTTAATAATTTATTAATAGTGCAAGAAACTAAATACAGCACATACTTATAAATTTCCAATGGGCCATTATGACGTACAGGCCAGGTGGCAATCGCCACCCGCCCCACCGGGCCAGTCAGCCCCTGCTAATACCCTTGCTATTGCTATTTTTACGACGAAATATCTCCGTTTAGCCAGTCCCTCCATCTATCTATTGACCTGAAATGTTGCTAAAAGAAAGATTAGTGGCTAATGCACAACAAAAATCTCCCTCCTCTCGTGGTAAACAAAAAACATATATCAAAGCTCCAAAATCTTACTAAAAATGGTCGTGGTATTCCGTTTCAATTTCATATATACTTTGCACAGCTCAAAGAGCTTAAGCTAGGACTTAGCGATCACTAAAAATCGACGAATGGGAAATAGACAGACACACCAAGGAAAATCGAGTTTTACAAAAGGTCTGGCGATAATATAATATTCAATATTTTAAGGTTTTCGTGACTATTTCCATAATAACAAAAATGTTTAGAATGGAAGTCTGGCAAAGACTCGTGTCTCTCGTTTGTATATTTAACGCCATTAATGCGAATTATTTCAAAAGTATAAAGGTCGTGCCCCTTGTAACTTCGAAATCGTCCCTTAAATCACAATTAATCTCCTCGCAAGGAAATCCATCTAAAGTTGCCCGAGGTTAGGATTATTCTGTACGGGATTTCGAATTATTAACGACAATTTATTCCAAAAACGTGTTTGCCTGTGTAATACCACGTAATTGCCCCTCATTAACGTTGGGCACGGTCTGCTTGCCGTTATTAACATTAAATCAATTCAATTGGCAGCACTTGCACACCTTTTTTCATCAGTTGGAAATGACGTGGAAGTTCCAATCAAAATGTAGACATTCATGAGAGCATCCCGTCAGATGTGTTTAACTAAAACTTAAAATAAAATATAGCTGTTGAATTACTGCGCACTTTTGTGGGAGATTGTTTTTCACAATAAATTACTATTATTATTATGATTAAGATCGCATTCATTACCAGTTCTTTTCAAATGGGACAGCCAAATATTCATTGCCGAGAGTTACCAAACTTTATTCACCCTGAATTTAAAAATAGCATAGTCAAATAATTAAACACTTGATTAAGCAATGAAAATTTTAACAAAAGCATTTTCTATCTCGATTTCCCCCTAGAAAACTTTGTGATAACTAAATCATTAATTAAATGAAACAGCTGCCTAAACGTTTTTCTTTACCTATAAGAAAAGAAATAACTTAAAATAACTTAAATGTAATGCAACAAGTAATTATTAATAGTTCCACACTGTGTTCTAAACTTGCTTCTAAACTTGCTTCTAAAAATGTTGTGTAGGTTTAAACTCTTCTCGTACCAACTAAATGTTTGTTGAATATACATTTGTCTCTATTCGGGAGCATTTGGGTCGCCTAAAGAAGGGCTGCTCACCTTACAAAAATAACCCTCGATGAGATTTTTGGAGTTTCTCTAATAATAATAAATTCATTGGTGTCCAAGAGGTACAACATCCTCCACAAGTTCCCTTAATTGGGAAAGAACTCCGTGAAAATGTTTTCATTGCGAGTATACTGGCCACACCCCAATCGGGGAAAAATTTCACTCCACCAATGCAATAATAACAGAATTCAAATGCCAGACTTTTCCTAAACTTGTAAAGTGAAACAATGATTTCATTTCCAAACTCAAAACAAGTAATTGTACGATTAATCAAGCGAAGGCGTTACTAACACTTGAATTTAAATTACTTAAATGATGAGAAGGGTCGAAAACATTTGCACTAAATTGTATGACATCCTTTCGTTTACCTAATGATGATAAATCAGCTTCTAATCTATATAAACAGGGAATAAGGTTGAAAGTCAATTCCAGTTCAATATACTAGTTGATTCAGTTATTTCGAGGCGAATTAATAACTTGATGGGATCATATTTTTTGGAAAAAAGTTTCATACAAAACTTGTACAATCCCAAGGGACCTTGACCTCGACTTTCAAGGTTATCCCAACTTCAGAGTTTTGAAAAACGTTGAACGTAAAGAGTGACGATAATACCGATGTTGCTGCCATATTCCTACAGTATTTGGAGTACGTTAGAAATGGCTTACGAAAACACTGAAACATCGGATAGTTTGTTGTGGTATTTCTAAGGGTAGATTAGTTCAGAAATCTGCATAGTGTCAAAATCAGAGAAATCAGATTTGTAGGATAAGTGGAACTGTGAAAAAAGATTAGTAAGCCGTGGTGGAAATTCAATCGCCTTGATTCTACGTATTTCAATTCAATAGAGCTTTGTTTTTTTAATAACTTTAGAAAGTCATAGGCTCCGGAGAGTGGTAGATCAAGGGATAAAATGCATTTATATCAAATTCATGGTTTTCTATTTTTAATACAAATTTTAGTAATTTTTAAACTTTAGTGACGTTTAAAGATTAAGGAAAATGTAAATCTGTGGATTTATAAAGACATTAACCCAATAAAATTTTGTAAGGAGTTTTATTGCATGTGTTTTATTTATAATGGACCCATGAAAATTAGATTTAGAAAATTGTTTTTCATTTAAGATCTAATTGTTAAAGTTCATTAGAGAAAATGGGTCCATTCCGATTATGAGTAAAGCAGAGACAGAGTAACGATCTGATGAGGTAAGTCAACTTGTGCAGAATTTTCCCTTGGATGCCATCAGTGATAGCTTTAAAACCAGTGCCGAGCGAGTCAAACTTAGACAGAGATAGTGTAGTCAATTTGTTACTTTTTGGAAATTTAATATTATAGATCAAGAGACATTTCAGTTGACTTACCCCATCAGATCTTTACCTCTGCCTCTGCCTGGGTTTCCAGTCACCTGAACGTTTCATTAGTAATACTTAATAAGTAAGGATTTTCAACTTCAACGCCAAGGCTCGATGAACCTAGGATGTTGGCGTTAGAATTCTGTATTGTCGCTTTACCGAATGACATCGAATCTTTGAAAACATACTAGCAGTGTGACTCCATTTTTTGCGCTAGCGGTAGAACAAGATGACACCAAGTTAAAAACGTGGTCACTCGCGACCGACTAAAGCGCATTTTCTCCACACAGAATCAGTAATCACTCCGGAAGGAAGTGACTAATCCAAAAAATCTTTTGTCGCACACAATGAACAAGCTTAAACTGGAGGATAAGTAGTGGTACAGCCGGACAGGCGGGCAGACAAACAAAGTGCGGATAATAACGTTCATTTTCCTTTTGAAAAACAACGCTAAAAATGAGCCAATCAGATGCTATACCAAGCTAATACGTGAAGAAACCTCGAAGGCGTACAAGAAGTCTTGGCCCCAAGATCTTTATAAATACGAACCGAAGGAAGAGGGTATCATAAGTACGTGTAGTGAGACTGATGACGTAAGGAAAACAATGTTCTTTACGTATTTCGTAGATTATGGAACATTCGACCACATTATCGTAGAAGCAGGAACTGCAGGAGCGGTGATAGCGAATAGGCTCTCAGAAGATGCCTCCCGAAACGTTCTTGTGTTGGATGTCAATGGTTACTCAAATAATTTCTCAGATATTCACCGCTAGCTTACTTAAACGGGCTGGGGGAGTACGATTGAAGATATCTAAGCGTGCCTCAGAATACATCGTGCCTAGATACCCCCCCCCCCCTCAAATCAACGTTCTTTTACCTACAATTCCCCGTGGTACGTTTTCCATAAACACGTTCACTCCTAACAACTTTTGTGATAGTGTTTTATAAAGGACCGGCCAATCTTCCGTTCCTGACCAGTATACCTTATCCCACAGGCTCCTGGGGTGACATTTGCTAGTCCCTTAATCACTTTCCAAACACTATTATGCATGGGTACATTTGGGTGAAGAATGTAGAACTGTGGGGTATGGAATACTGGAGGGTAAGTTCTGCCTCAAACCTAAAGGCCGCTCCACACGCAACGGAAAAACCGAAGGCATGCCTCGGGGCGACGGGCCTTGAGGCGAACCTAAATTATAGGGGGTCTCCACACACTACGGAATATACGAAGGCCAGCCTTAAGGCACGCCAGTTTCGCGCAAAAATGACGTCGACAGATAACGTTCTTCCTGTTGTTGGATTATTGTTAGCTGTCGAAAGTAATAAAAAAAGAGTGAAGCGAAAGTTCTGGACTAAAGACTGGTTACAGAAAAGGAAATGTTACTTCCATGTAAATTTATTAAAAGACCTGAGGTTCAGTCCGAAAGATTGGCACAATTATTTGCGGATGGATGAGGACACATACTTAAGGCTCTTATCATTGGTGACGTCGATCATTTACAAAAAGGACACCATAATGAGGACCGCAATTACACCTCATGAAAGATTGAGTGCCACATTACGATTTCTGGCTATAAATTCCTCTTGTTTTTGCTTTGCACGGCCATGACTATATGAAAACTTGATGCAACGGACCTCTTTTCACACAA